ATAGTCGGCACGAATACACACTCTTTTGAGGCGAACGCAGCGTTCGTAGGGGATAACGGATTGAAAACCTTCGTCCTCGATTCGACGGGTTAAAGCGTTTTTACGGACAGACGCTTTAGAAGATATAGTTAGCAAGATAGGCCATAGGGGGAAGGAAAATATTAAAAAACGGAAAAACAGTGCATATACCTAAGGGGGGGCACTAACGTTTAAATCCTTTAAGGATAAAGGATAGGGAAGGAGGGGATAATATTACGGACCTTAAAGAGGCGCGGGGGCCGTAGCTATTTAAGTAGTAACCGTGAGCTAATCATTCCACGGACGCTAAGGATTAGCGTTATCACGTGCGTTTCGGTATACTTAGGTAGGCCCCGGGGGGCACTAAGCAGGAGGGTTTAGGGCAGAAGCTAGAATCGGCCTACGGCTAACCGTCACAATCAATACCCGCTTACTCTATAGGACGGTTAGCGCGAAGCAGGAAACGGCCGCTCTCTTACCCGCACCTAGATTACACCCTAAATGTAAGAACACGGTAAACCACGTGACCACATCCTATTAGCGATAGGATAGACTCATTAGCGATAAGTCCTATCGCATCCGTGATAAGTCCCGACTTATCAGTGATAGGAAGGACTAGATACATAAGGACACTTATTTAGTATTATATATTTAGTTCTTCGCGATTAATTACACATTGTTACTTAGTTACTACCTTTAGTACTTTGCACTTCACAGTTCACCTTTAAGACCACCTAACCTATAAGTAGGGGATTCACTTAGTAGCAATACTTAGTGATTGACTTACTTAGCGCGCACTTCTGGCACGTTCTGTAAGATACTTAATAAGATCTATTCCGCAGTAAGGCCTTACGAGGTAACGGTACGATTAAGAGACACTCTTGGAATTCGAAGTTGTGCCGAGAGGGCCGGAATCAGCCGTGACAGCATATATCATTGTTATACCGTATTATAACAACGACTTAGGTAACTATTGCCCTTTCTGCACTTACTCACAGTGACTAGTCGGCTACGCGTAACACCGTATAAATAAAAAGATTTTAGATTATATCTTTCCTAGTAGCTTAACTTATAGTCTTCTTCGTAGACCGTAAGCTTATAAAAGGAACTATAATAATAAATAGCCTATTAAATAGTATACTTTTATAAGTATTAGCGTCTTAAGGCTTATTAATACTCCGCTAGAGAATATCTTCTCTAGCTATATCGTCTTTATTATAATCTTCCTGAGAGCTTTCGGATTAGCTTACGGCCGAATCCCTCACGCTCTTATAAATAGATATATCCCTATATCTTCTTCGCTTAGCCTAGTTCCTTATAATTCTCTTAATAATAATATAGTTAGCGATTATACCCTTCCCTACTAACTCGTAGCGTATACTATTACGTCTAAAGTCGGCTTATTCTTCTCGAGTAAATATAGCTAACTCTAAGTAATTAGGGATATTAATCTTATCCTCGAGGATCTTTCGTATCTCTTTTAGTCTTTATAGCTATAGCCCTACCCGCTAAAGGGCGGCTTTCGCGGCCGAAGATATCTATAGCTTTATTAGATCGGCTACTTTCGCTTCTAATAGCTAGGATCTATTAATAAGACTCCTAAGTATACGGCTAGATAGCTCCTTAAGAGTATATATACTAAGTAGGTAGGACGATAGGACCCGATATAGTCTAAATTACTTACTCTTAAATTTCTTCTTACTTTCGTTACGAATTAATATCTAATCCCCTTCCTTAAAGCTCGATTTCGTAATTATACTATTATAAATACGCTTTATTCGGATCGCTCTCGCGAGTAAGAGCTTATTTACTTTTATATAAACGTTAGCTATCTTCGCGAGTTCGTCGGCTCTCTCCGTCCATAGGAGGGTTTTCGATAATAGATTATCTCTAGGAAGATAGGGTTAGATTCCGTATATAAGGTAGAACGGACTATAGCCTATAATAGCGTACTTATAGAGCCGCGCGGCTATAAGCGTCTATATAAGGTATAGGTCCTATACGCTATAAGATATAGATAGAAGAAGATCTATAGAATTCTGTAGAATTCTATGGAATCATATAGAATAGAATCAGGTGGAAAGATTCTAAAAGAATCTAATAAGAATCATATGATATTATAGACTACTAGTCTATTATATCATATAGGTCTATACAATTCTATAGTGATATCATCACTTATTATTATTGCCACCTATTGCCACTGAAAATCTAGGGATAAATACCCCCTCGATCCTCTGTCAAAATATTTTCTAATAATCATCCGAAAATAATCTTGATCACCTCTCACTATCACTATCCACTACTATCTACTACTATTTACTAGTAGATCTTTATTATACTATATAGCTATACTATATAGCTATATCCGATAAGTATCTACCTATCTACCTTACTTCCTATTCGCTTATCACCCTGCTTGCTCATACACGCGAGTAGGCTTACCTATAAGGTATTTCGTAAGTATCCGGCCTAAAAGTCTATTTAAATTATCTATCTTTCCGTTCGTATAGGGGTAGTAAGATATAGTTATATAATACTTAGTTTTTATAAGATCTAAATAAAAGCGAACGGCTCTTACGAAGAGGTTCGGGCTATTATCGGATAATAACTTTATTAGAGCCTTATAATTCGCGAAGATTTAATTATATAGGAAATAACCTAATTTCTCTTTAGTAGCTTCCTAAAGAGCTTTCGCGACCGGCTAGTTAGTAATATAATTAATAGCTATAATAATCTACTATTATTATTCGGTATCTTCGGTAACGGTCTAATTAGGTTAATTCCCTACTACTAGAAAGACTAAATACTAGCCGTAACTATATATTAGGCTACTTCTATCTCTAGTAACGCTCGCGATCCTTATGAAACTTAATAATTTAGGTACGATTATATATAATTTTCGATATCTTACTATATCTATAATTACTACGCTTACGAATAAAGTATATCTATAAAGCCTAGATAGCCTAAGTAACTAAATTCCTTATATAAGCGATTTATAAGGTCTCTATAGAAGATTAGCTCTAAATATAGGGTATAGAGCCTATCTTCGTAGGTAAAAATAAAGTTCCGCTCTTTTAGGTAGGTATCGTCTTCCTAAAAGCTTAAGTTTAGTATAAATCGCTTAATAGCTTTTATTATAGAAGGATCCTCTAGTAGTTATTTCGTCTCTAGAAACTATTAAATTATAGATAACTAGATATTTTCGGGGACTTTTATAACTATGTATCTCTACTTAAGCGAAAACGAGAGAAAAGTCCTATATTAGTTAGGGTTTTAATATATTTATAGATCTATCTTTAATAAAATCGGGCCTATAGCTTAATATATTAGGGACTATAGCGTCCGATCCCTTCCGATACTAAATATATAGGTTATACTCCTAAAATTCCGCTATCTAGTAAGCTAATCGCTTACTATAGATCTTAGTAGAGATTAGATACTATAGACTTATATAATTAGTAATAATTATTATCTACGTACTATTCTTAATATAGCGGTCTTATAGTCGTAAAGCTTTCTTAATCGCTAAGAGTTCCTTCTTCTAGATAGGGTAGTTTAATTCCGTCCCTATAAGCTTACGACTATCGTAGGTAATAGGATATAGCTTCCCGTCTACTCTTAATTAGAGTAAGACTATCCTAATCGCCTATTCCGATATATCTATCTTAATTATAAATAGTTTTAATAGATCCGGCTATACTATAATCGGGGCCTCCGTAAGCTTTTACTTAAGAATAGAAAATATACTCTCGTACGCGATTATCTACCGAATAGGGCGGAACTTCTTCTTTTAAAGTTCCTTATTAGTTTCCTTAAATAGTTCGTATAAAGAAACGTAGATCTATACGAATCTACGGATAAACTAGCGATAGTATATAGTAAAGGCTAATAAATTAGCGTAGTTCGTATACGTTTCGCGGTTTTAGCTATATATAAATAATCTCTATCTTAGCTAGTAGTAGGCGGATATATCTATTTCTAATAATATAGCTATAGAACTCTAGTTCGCTCGCGGTAATAATATATTTACCTAGCTATATAATTAACTAGTTATAATCGAGTATAAAGAGTACCTTCTCTAGAAATTATAGTAATCTTTTATTAAATCGGAGTAGATAAGGATATTATTAAGGTATATAACTATAAGCGCTCCTAAATAAGACCTTTAGGCCTTATTTATAATTATTTAGAAGATTATAGGTATATTATAAAGACCGAAAGGTATTACGAGCTATTCGTATTTACCCTAAATTATATTAAATATAGTTTTCTTAATCGATTTCTCCTTTATACGGACCTATTAATAACTAGAAGTAAGATTAATCTTAATAAGGATCTTAGTATATCCGATATAATCTAATAGCTCCTAGATATATAATAAAGGGTATCTATTCTTAACTATTAGCTTATTTAAGGCTTAGTAATTAATATATATTCGCTATATTCCGTTCGCTTTCTTTATAAAGATAATAGGAAATCCCTATACGCTCGTAGACGGCCGAATTAGGCCTTTCTTTAGAAGTATCTTAACCTATTCTATCTACTTACGGAGTTTCTCGTCGGATATTAGGTATAAATTAATATTAATAGATATAGTATCGCCCGTTTTAATCTTATAGGCGAATATACGCTTAAGTAATAGTACTTCCGATAGCGAATCCTTAAAGATATTAGGAAATCGCTTAAGGATCTTATAGATCTTCTTATCTTTATAGCCCGGTAGTACGTTTTTACTTCCTTCTTTAGCCTTTTATAGGATAAAGAGTACTTCTTTAGATCCTTTCTTCTATATTACTCTACTAATCTACCTTATACTTAATAGGTTTAGTCCCCCTTCGCCTAGAATATATCTAGCCGATTTTAGTAAAGGCTCGATTTAGTAACGTATTTCCTGGCCGATCGGGCCACCCGGCCGATCGGGCCACCCCATCTAAAATCGCGTATTTCTAGCTACCTACCAACTTCAACCACCTACCATGCCACCAATTCGACCTAGATCTCGGCAGAAATTAGCCAGCCAAGAGGGCAAGATCCTATTAGCCCTATCTGATTTGCAAGAAGGCCGTGTTAGTTCTATTCGCGCGGCAGCTAAGCTATACGATATACCTCGCACTACACTCTAACACCGCGCCAGCGGCCAGGCCTCACGCGTTGATACGCGCCCATCTGGTCATAAATTGACCCAATTAGAAGAGGATTCGCTTTGCCAATGGATTATCTCTATGGATTCACGTGGAGCAGCGCCTAGGTAAGCTACTGTACGAGAGATGGCTGATATCCTACTAGCTGCACGCGGTAGCCACCCTCCGCCTACTGTCAGCAAGAACTGGCCAACAACCTTTATCAAACGGCGCGAAGAGCTTCGCTCGCGATACTCGAGGAAATACGACTACAAACGCGCATTAAATGAAGACCCGAAAGCCCTACGAGCCTGGTTCGCGACCGTACAACGTATAATTGATGAGAACGGGATCCAACCAGAGGATATATACAACTTTGATGAGACAGGATTTGCAATGGGCCTTGTTTCTACGCAGAAGGTTGTTACGCGGGCAGAAATCTGCGGTCGGCCACGTCTTTTACAATCAGGAAATCGCGAATGCGTTACTACGATTGAGGCAATTAGCGCTGATGGCTATTCGCTTCCGCTATGCGTGATTTTTAAAGCTAAGGTTGCCATCGCTGGTTGGTTTAATAACCTACCAAAAGATTGGCGAATCGAGGTCTCTGCGAATGGCTGGACTACCGATGAGATTGGCCTACGTTAGCTACAAAAGCTCTTTATCCCATCAACGAATTCGCGTGTACGCGGCCGATTTCGGCTGCTAATCCTTGATGGTCATGGTAGCCATCTTACACCTCAATTCGACCGAATCTGCGCAGAAAACGACATTATACCTCTTTGTATGCCTCCGCATGCGTCGCATTTATTACAGCCATTAGATATTGGCTGTTTTGCAGTGGTTAAAAGGGCATACGGTCGCTTCGTAAGCGATCTTATCCGTCAAGGATATAACCATATCGATAAAATCGATTTCTTAATGGACTACCAACACGCGCGGCTAGAGGCCTTCCAAAAGCCATCAACTATTCAAAATAGCTTCGCAGCTGCTGGTTTAGTGCTAATTAATGCAGAAAGGGTCCTTTCAAAGCTGAATATCTCTCTGCGAACGCCAACACCACTAGGTAGCCGGCTAAGCACCAGTTCTAGCCAATTCACACCAAAGACGCCTAGAACTATCGTTCAGCTCAATAAGCAATCTTCAATGCTTAAGGATCTACTAAATCAGCGGTCAAATAGCCCTCCTAGCCCAGTGGGGGCTATATTAAATCGGATTATCAAGGGCCACAGCGAAGCGCTTCATCAAACTGCATTACTAGCGCAGGAGGTCTCCAATCTACGCATGGCGAATACGAGGATCGTCAAGAAACGCCAGCGATCAACTAGGCAGATACCCTGCGAAGAGGGCCTATCTATTGAAGAAGGCCTACAGCTAGTTGAGCAGCTAAATCAGCCAGTGGAAGGTGATGGGGTAGGATCGCATAAGCAGGGCGAATTGCCTAATCAGGCAATTCAACCACCTACTAGGGCCCCGCCTAGGTGCAGTGGGTGTAGGGAGATTGGCCACAAGATTAATGTATGTAAAAATCGCTATATTTAGTTGAATTAATGGGTGTTGGTAGAGATATCTGATTTTGAAATTTTCTAATGGGGGTGGGTGGCCCGATCGGCCGGGTGGCCCGATCGGCCAGGAAATACGTTATATTTTAGAGCGATTACGTAACTTTATAACCGAAGTCCTTTAATTAACCTAAGGGTTATATAACCTAAGAAAGTCTTAGCTAAGGATAAACTTATAGTCCTAGAGCTCTAGAACCTATATATTTATATACCCTTATTAGGAACTAAGATTAATTAGGATATAAATAGATATACTTATAAATAATCGTTCCCTATCTAGTATTCTTATAAATAATAGTTCTATATAGTACCTTATTATATCCCTACTAAGCTACTTAATAATAGCTAGGAATATAAATATATAAGACGCTCTATAATCTAGAAGGGTATAGATAGATATATCCTTCCTTAGGAGCCTAAGGGTAACTCTATAAAATAGTAGGGAGTCTCCTACTATATTTAGAAAGATATCCTTTTAGGCGTATTCGTCTCCTTCTAGGTCTAGTTAATCCTTAATTAATATATTACGAACTTTTAAAGCTTCCTAAAGGCGGCTAATAAGTACTTTAATATTATTAGGCCTCTTTAGTTTCCTAACGGCTTCGCTTACTTCCGATTTAATCTTCTCTCTTTCTTTAGATTAAGGTAATTCCTCTTAATATACCCTCTCTTCCTATAATTAAAGTATAATAAACCTCTTCCTAGGGCCTATTTAGCTAGTATCATAGATAAATCTATTATATTACCACTATCCGGGACTTATCTAATATAGTAGCTCGTAAGAGTAGTACCCTTCTTATAGCTTTTAAAGCGGTTAATAATCTCGTAAAGATCCGTAGGCGGGTTTCGTTCCTCCGCCTATTATTACTAGAGATATACCTAGACGCTATCTTATAAGAACTTAATAAAGATTAGGTCCCTATCTTTTTATAGCACTAAGGTATTCTGAAAACTCGCGGTTAATCTAATCCTTATAGCCTTACTAAGTCGTAATAGCGACTTTATAGCTATTTATAGCTTAGTATTTATAGTTACGCTAGCCTTTTAGGGCCGCTCCGGTAAGAGCGCTATTAGCGTATATAATCTTCTTTTATTTAGTTAATTCAGAGAAGGAGAATTCGGCTACTCTCTAGAAGTAATACTTATAGTTATAAAGATATTTACGCGTAATGTCTCCTTAGATCTTCCTATTATAGTCCTAGATATTACTAATTGTCTTTAGTAGCGCCTATTTCTTATCTAATTCCGCCTAGTCGTTCGCCGCTAAAGTAGATACTATTATAGCTAGTATAGTCGCTATTTTTACGTTCGCTTCCGTAAGCTATAGAAGACGAACTATCTTATAAATAAGATATATAGTAGCTTCTTTATCTAATATAGTTTACTATATTAAGAGATATTACTAGCCTATCTCGTATAGTAATAAGAGTAGCGCTATAGTCGTTAGTGGATCTAGTAGATCCTAAGTATAAGGATTTAGGTCCTATAGTTCGTAGACCTAAAAGGCCTATTTATTAGTTAGTATATATAGAAAGTATTCTATAATAATTAACTATTTAATTCGAGGATAAAAGGAGGTTTCTCGCTAATTTCTTCTATTCGAAGCGTTCTAGTCAAAACGTTTCTTTCTAATACTCTCGTAGTTTTACTTTAGCTCGCTTACGGCCCTAAATCTAGCTATATATAAGCGGAAGGATACCCTATAAAAGGAATTATACTTAAGCCCTTTTTTACTACGTTATATACCTTAGGAAGGGAAAGCCCGTACTATAGTAAGGGTTTAAGGTTACTATAATATTATTCGAAGCCTTCTCTCCTAATATTTTCGCTTGTAATAAGGCCTATCTAGCGATCCTTCTATTACGCGATCCTCTTCGTTAATTATAAGTTTAGATCTTTTTAGGGAGGCCTCTTATTTCTATTTGAGAGCGATCTCCCCTAGACGGCCGCGGAAGGTCGCCTATTTTTAAGGGCTTACTACTATATATAATTATAGGAGTATTAAATAGAGTATATTTTATTATATTTATAGGAAAATAGGTCTAAATAAGTATAAACCGGTAGTAACCGGTAAAATAAGGGGTACCTAAGGTATATATCCTAATATAATTAGGCCTATTCGGGACCCTTAGGATTATATTAATAATCTAATAAATCAATAGATTAGGAAGTTACTAGATATTAGTATCTATAGCTAGATTAGCCGATTTCTTATATAAAACTCTCTATTAAAGAGATATAGTTTTCCCCCGGAGAAAGGATAGGAAAAACGATGGTCCGGTCCGGGCCGTTAGCTAGCGGGCCGTATAGTCAACTAACTTCATATAGCTATATAGGCTAATAGTTATTATAGTAAATGATAATAATACTTTAAAGGGAAGAATTCCTACTAGAGTACTAGCTACTAAATTAGACTCTAATAATAAATATAATAATAAGATCTAAAATCTTAAAATAATTATAAAGAAGCTCTAGAGTAAACTAAATCTCCTTAAAGAAAACTATAATAACTATATAGTAAATATAAAGGATTACCTAGAGTAACTTTATACTTAAGTTATTACTTCTATACTAATAATTTTGTTAAAGTATCTAAACTCCTAAAGACTAAGACCTTTAATAATACTTAATATAAATTATAAGGATTCCTTATATAGATAGATATCTATATTAATATTAATAAATATTAGATTATATATATAGCTATATAAGCTTATTAATCGGTTAGCTACCCTATAGCCCGGACCGGACTATCCTTTTTCTAGCGGAGAGATCCCTCTATATCTACCTCTTTAATAGAGAGTTTCCCTATAATAAAATCGACTAATCTAGGCTATAGATTCTAATATCTAGCTCCTTCCTAATCTATTAATTTATCGAATTATTAGTTATTTATCGAATTATCGATTATATTATTAATTTAATTAAAACGCTACTACCTAAACTACCCTAATTATATACTTAAGTATCCTTTTACTTATTAGTTTAGGAGTTTAGACTTAATAAATAGATTGAATTAATATATTAATCTTAAGACCCTCCTTTAAAAATAGCTCTTTTATTATTAGATATTATAGGGAAATTCCTATATATTAGGGAACTAATAATCTTATTAAATTAGCTCTATTCGCTAGCGGAAGCTCTATTCCTCCCTAGTAAAAATAAGGATCGATTATCCCCGTTAATAAAGGATAATTATTTACTAAAGAAAGTAAGATTATCTTTATATTAGCTTATTTATAAGATTAGATTTAAGATTAGATTTAAGATTAGATTTAAGATTAGATTTAAGATTAGCTTAAACCTTATATTTAAGAATATTATAAAAAACTAAATATTAAATACCTAAGTATTACCTAGAGTATCTTTAATAACTATACTATATTTAGATAGTACTTAGAATATATCTTAGGTAAGGCTATTTATACTACCCTAAAAGTCTAATAGTACTATCTTTTTACCTAAATTACCTAATTTTAGCCTAATTTCTACTAAGCCTATTATGGCTATTTCTTATAATTATAGTTATAGGAGTTATAAAAGGAGTATATTTTATATATTTTATAAGGAAGTAGATCTAAATAAGTATTAAGCCGGTTATAACCGGTAGTAAATTAGGTACCTAAGGCACCTAAATAACGTAATTAGGTCCGTATAGGACCTCTAGGATTATATCCTCCCCTACCTAGCCGAAAATCGCCCCGATTTCTAACAAGCGGAGCCGATTAGCTATAGATATATATATTTACTTAATAGGGTCGCGTCCGTAAGTTAGCTAAGTTAAAATAGCTAGAAGGAAGAGAAAGGATTAATTAATCGCGCCGAGGGGGTCTTAAACCTATATACGCGCGACTTTTTAGCCCGATTAGGACGGTTTATATAGAAAGTTTCGAATAACCTTAATAAAGCCTAAAGCGGAAACTTCTATTAGGCCCTTTAGACTCCTACTAAATATAAAAGTAATCTTCTAGCCGCCTTTCCTATTATCTTTTCTTTATATCTCCTACTACTTATTACTAGATCCCTTTATTAGACTTTAGCGCTTTTCTATCTTTTTTCGCTCGCGATAGCCTATTACTATACGTAAAAACCTTAATTCTATCTTTCCCTAACCTATAGATAAGTATCCCTATATTCTTTTAGATAAAATTAGTTATAATTTAATAGCCTAGCTATACTAACGCTTCTTAGTAGCTAATAATAAGCTTTTTATCCCTTTAGCCGCCGATATAGACTAAAACGTCCGTAATTTCGCGTAGGCGTTCCTCTTCGGCCTTTTTACTCCCTTTAGCTCTAGTAAGATTAATCTAGATATCTTCGGTAATCCCTTATTATACTAGTTTACTACTAAGAGGAACTATAAGCTAGTTACTCTCTCCCTATAGATTAATATAGACTAATATAGCTAGAAGGCTAAGAATTATAAAGCCCTTAGTTAACTATAAGCTACTTAGATATATTATATCGGTCTTACCGCTCTTAATAGCGAGATATATATATCTTATAATAAGGGTTTCGGTCTCTTCGTAAGCTATTATATCCTAATAATAGATAGGAAATCTTAGTTCTAAGATACTTATACTAATTATTATTTTAATATAGATAATAAAGACTATTCCTTTTATAAGTTCTATTCCTTTAGTCTCTTCTAGACGCTTCTACTAACTATTTTATAAGATCTAATACTAATTTACTACCCGAATAGATCTATTCGGTACTAAAGTTCTAAAATCCTAGCTATCCGCTCCTATATAAACCCTCTAAGGCCGTTAATCCCTATTTAGATAAGCGCTAAGCTACTAGTACCTCCCTAAGCTCTTCTACCGCCGCCGCTTCTAACTATTTATCTAAATAGGCCTATCCAGCTAAGAAAAGTACTAAGAAGAAGAAGGAAGAAGAGAAGGAAGCTATTAGTCTTATTAATATCCTAATCCTTAATACTAACGCTTCTATTAGTCCCTACGCTAATAACTAATACTC